CGGTTTCATTGATTGGCGGCATTTTTTTCAGAATAAACTGATTTTGCTGTCCTTCATTTCCTTAACAGGGAGATGGTGAGGAGTGCTTCGCGCTTTTTGTGCAGTTGAGCACGTTTTCCTAATGATCGGGTATCTTTCTGTTGTTCAAGCATGATCCATTCATCTTGCAGATTATTTTTGGTCATCATAGAATAAGCTTTGATGGAGCAAGTAATTGATTCTCATGTCTCTTTCACTCTTAATCGAAACCTGGATAACTGACCTCTACAGGATCGCATACATTTTCATTGTTTTCTTGGTAGAAGAAATGTGTCCAGTCATTTGCGTTTTCCTCTGTCATGTCGTTTGATACTCTCAGCACTCTTTACACTCCACGTCATCCACGATTATGGGTTGAACTCCGAAAAGCCAGTATAACGAACTTTAAGAATGCTTTCATCTCTTCGCTACTTTGGTTTTAAAGCAGTTTTGTTAAAGATAACCTGCAGTCCATAATCGAAGAAGCGAAGCGTTGCAGCGTCGACTTCTGTTACGCGTTGTCGCCCGGCTACGACATCGTTTACTCGAGCCATGAAGAAGTCAACTTGATCAAGAAGAAGTTCGAACAGGTAATAATACCAGAAATTCATCTACCTTATAAAATATGAAATTGTCATGAGATCGAGAGAGCTGGGTGGCAGGTTGCAACAGAAGGTAGTGTGGGTAAAAGGGAGAGTCACAGAGTGAGTTGGAACCATTATAGCGAATGGAGTCCGGTAGATACCCATTTCTTGCTGTCACTGATTATGGCATTCAATGCTTATGAATGTGATTACGCTTTAATTCCGATGAAACTTCAGTTCTTTCAATTGGTCATTGCCCTTTTTTAGACACTACTGACCAGCTTAAAGCGGATGCATGGAAGATTTTCCATTGACAGTCTTTTGTATAAAGACTGAGCGAGACGACTTTAAATCTTGTTAGTAAAATTTTTGTGTTAGTGTAGGTAGGAGCGGTATTTCAGTTTAAATGCGAAGCAACGGAGAAAGCAAGTGGTAGACTATTGGTTAGTATTTTTCCTTTCCAAAAGGACTAAATTGCGTTGGATGCCATTTGTATTGCAAAGATCTCATTTTTCTTTTTTGAAAACGTGTTTAACTTCTCTTTTACGTATTATAGGTGAAGAACCTTGGCTGTGAATCATTTTCGCTGCTCTTCGACGATATCGAAGAAAGCATGTCTGACTCCGATAAGCAAAAGTTCACGTCGTTTGCTCAAGCGCAGGTGAGTTTGACGAATCAGGTGTATGATTACCTTGGCCAGCCAAAGTTCTCCTTCTGTCCTACAGGTGTGTGCCGTCATCATCATGTTTCCTAAGATGTACAACTTTTTCTTTTGGCGACTTTTCAGAATACTGTTCCGCCAAGAGCATCCCCAGTCTAGATGAATCCGATTACTTACATCATATTGGCCAGAAACTGCTTCCAGGCATACACATATTTTGGACAGGTGAGTGATGACAGTTCCGTGAAATTTGAGCAGCTTTTGTTATATATGTTAAAGACATTGCCTTTTGTTAGAATGCAGTCTAACTTATTTGACTCGAAATTTGCGAAACCGTTGGTTAATAAATTTTTCGTGCCAGAAGTTTCTGGGGGTAAATCCAAAATTATCTAATAAGAAATTATGTTTAGAATTAATGAAAGGAATACAAAAAGAAAATTTTTTGAGCAGTATGACAGAGGAAGCCCTGGTAAATCTATCGCATCAGTGTATGAATGACGACGTCTGTGTAGAATTAAGTTCTCAGTGGAACGAAATTATGAAGTACCTTTTACCGTCTAAGCTGAAACCTCTGTTGTGTCAAGCGACTTATGCTGCTACATTCTCTGTTTTATATTGCGTTTTCTTCCTGAAGACAGATCGATTATGTTCTGAAACTTTTGAAAATATGAATGCAGTAAATTCAGTGTAT